GGTTTAGGGGTTTCGGGGTTTACGGCTTAAGGCTTAGGCCTTAAATTTCCCGGGTACTCTGAGGGTTTAGGGTTAAGTGTGGTTTAGTGTTTGCTGAAGGGGTTCAGCGATTTGGTGGTTGAAGGCTTGGTATACGGGGCTTGATATGGTGTATCGGGTTTTGGTGTATGTTCAAGTAGAATCAATCATGATGAGGGGAGTTGTGTGCCATTTATTGTCTTTCGTGTGTTGAGTTCTTGATTTGTTTGGTTTGTTCCCTTGTTCGTTGATCTATTCTTGAATGTTGAAGTCCGAAGAAGGATATGTTAGACACCATACGATAAAATCAAAAAACGCTACAACCCCGATAGAGCAAAACCCTGGAAAAGGTAGGACTTAGGGCCCGGTCACGCAGCTGGGAACCTTCGTAAAAGATCAGCCGCAGGGCCTGGTTGGCGCTGAACCCACCGCAAGTTGTGGTGCGGCCTGTCGAGGAGATGGCCCCCTGGCTCTCAACTGGGCACATGTTTTTGGTGTTGTTCAGTGTTCTGGAATCTGTTGAAGGGTTGTAGAGAGCTTCACGATGTAAGAGGAGGCAGATCAGCCTTCTTTAGTTATAGGGTTGGGTTGAGGGACCTTACCTCCACCTGCTGTGATATGCAGTTGATGTTGGAGCAACGCGGACTTAGGTGTAGGCTTGATTTAGGGTTTAGCGCAACCCAAACCCTAAACACCAATCCCCCAAATCCTAAACCCTAAGCCCTAAACCCCAAACCCTTAACCCCTACACCGTAAACCCTAAACCCCAACACGATAGCTTAGGGCTCCCTACTAAAAGAGTATTTTCATATAACGTAAAGCCCCATTCCAACAATTGCTGAGGGGCCGTTGATGCCAATAAGGATCTATACGCCCATGCCCGACGTCTCAAAATCCCTAACCGAAATAAAAACCGCACCCAATTCAAGGAAGCATCCTATGAATCGGGAGTCACAAGGCACACAACCTAACAGCCACTCAAGCTAGTACAGACATAGTCATACTTTGGATACTGCCTCCACTCAGCAACAGTTGAAGACTGTTTATAATATACATAGACAATTGACAATGCTCTTAATAGAAGCCCTGTCATAGACGGTTATTGTATGGGGGTAGTACCCAAGTCATGCTTCTGTGAACCTGAGGTGGGCAATCCTAGTTGCGACTGCTCCATCTGCCTCCAGCCACTTCTGGAGGTCCAGAAAGACGAGATGCCGCGACCCCAGGGAGTGGCGCAGAAACCCAATATACATGAATTGGAGCATGGCCCCTTATCGCCTTGTAGACTATCTCGTTGGGTAAGGGTGTGTAATTCTGTTATGCTACAAGCCTAGTGGTAGAAGTGTTCACAGGAACGCCGCTGCGGCCTAGCCATATTCACAGAAGTGTTGAATCCCAGGTAACTCTTCGATTTACGGTTTGGGGGGTGCAGGGTTGTTGTAGGGCAGCGCAGACCCCTAAACCTGCAAATTAGGAGGACGGAATTCAGACTTTGAGTGCTCCCGGGCTTGTGCCTTGAAATTGAAAGCTTAGTGCTCTACCCCTGCAATCCGCTGCTCAACTTTGGGGCTGCAGGTTAAGTTCGGATCTGGTTTAAAGTTACGATTTAGTTTTAGGGCTTTCGGGGGGTAGGTTTAGGTTTTGTGAAACTGCACATCTGGCGTGGCTTATTATCGTGAGTTGCCATTTTTCCAGATTCCTTGCACGTTGCAGGATGACCCTACCCAGAGACTCCAAACCCCCTCAATTAAGGAACATACCTTAAATCATATTAGGGTTCCCATTATAGTTTAAGGTATATTCTGTAATTATAAGGGGGTTTTGGAGTCTCTGGGTACGCGACTCCCCACGAACCAAGCCCTGAAGCGATTAGACAGGAAGCGCCCGACTATAAAACCTAACCCTGCGTCCTACGTGGATCCCTTCCAAAACCTACCATTTTGTAGGGTTATACCCCCCATGTCTATGGAGCAAACGGTTTGCATGGTTTTGGGTGTAGGATAGGGTTGGGGCTGCTGGGCCCTCACTTGGCCCAGCCGCATAGTACAGTCTGGCCTGATGGTAGCATCTGATTGGTTGTCCTCTGGGGATCCCTTAGAGGAGCCATTACAGGAACCCCTTATCGATCCCTTGAAGGAGCCCTTAAAGGAACCCTTAGCCCCTTATAGATCCCTTGAAGGAGCCCTTAAAATCCTTAGAGGAACCCTGGGGTAGATGGGCTTCCGGGTTATTTCTCTTCACCCAGCGTTAATCGGGCTCAAGCCAGCTGACGACGAGGGAGCAGGACGCAAAGACACCCCTCTTGGCTACAGAGTGCTACAGATATCGTTTACACAGTAGTAGGAACAGTAATGATAACAATAGCAACCAAGCAAAACACTGTTCGTAATCGTAACAAGAGTATCATCTAATCAGAATCGTATGTGCTAGGCCTCGAAGCTCACGCCTGTCCCAGCCTTCAACCCCCCCCCCCCCAAATCGACTTTAAACCCCAACGCCCTAGCTAAGCACTATAGATCGATAGCTGAAGCTTGAAGCTCCCCAACGCCATCAAAGAGCGGAAATCTGAGCCATGTGGGTGTTAAAGTTCAAGGGGCTTGCATCGCCCATTTCGGATCCAGCTTCAGCGTTTAGGATCTAGGAAATCTTGGTTGCAGGGTTGAGCGGCAGGCGCAAATTTAACAGGGCCCTCGAGCAGAACCCACGAGTCAGGTCTAGACCATGCTTCTTTCTGTAGCCACGGTTTAAGGGTTTAGGGGCTTTACCGCCTGCTCATTATTGCTCTGCCTACCATGCCCTGCGTTCGGGGCATTTCCGGGGAGGAGCTGGCAAATTTCGCCACCGAGGACTTCCGGGATGTTCGTGAATTGAAGAGCCGATTGCGAAGTCTTCATGGCTTCCCGCTGTGCCTGCAGCAGCTCCTGTGTGATGGCGACCACTTGAGGGATGATGACCCTGTCAAGGCGTCTGAGCTAACAATGGTGCTGCGGACAGCCGTCACAGCGGAGCAACGACATAAGGCTGCAGAAGAGCTTGTGTGTTACGCTGCTGATGGGGGGTTTCTTGAAGTGGCACGGCTTCTGCTGCAAGCGGGCGCTGACAGGGACTACTGCAGGTCCTCTGAAGTCGCCGAAGGCAGTTCTTCCGAGGAGTGGGACAACATCGGCTGCACGGCGCTCTCCCGGGCCGCCAATCGTGGCCACGCCGAATTGGTTCGACTTCTCTTGGAGGCTGGGGCCGATAAGGACCTGCAGGATGAAGATGGCATGACGGCTCTCATGCACGCAGCGCATGAAGGCCACGTCGAGATTGCACGGATCCTTGTGGCAGCTGGCGCTGGCAAGGACTTGGAGGATGAAGAGCGCACGACAGCTTTAATGATTGCAGCTGCTACAGGGCACACTGAGATTGCCCGTCTATTGGAAGATGCCGGTGCGACCATGGATTTAGACGATGCTGTCGGCAGTCAATGAACGTGGCTGGCGCGGCACATCAGACTCGAGAGTATCGTCAAGGCAGCTCCTCTGTAAAGGAAATGCGGAACATTCCTCACTCTCCACGGAGGATGCCAGCGGCTATAACAGGCCAGTATGGGAGCCTCAATGGGTAGAGCGGGACTTTGGGGCATATTACACTAGAAGGCTTGCCCCCAAAAAATACTGTTGGGAACTCTTCAAACGTATTTTTAATCGGTCGTTGCCGTGGTTGCATTGGTGGGCTCAGATTGAGGTCTTGAGCCTGACTTGTACAGCGTGCAGCTGCGAATGCCTCGACTCCCTGAACCCCCACGTTGCGAAGCACCGAAATAGGTATCATGCAGGTGTCTGAAGCGCCATACTCACGGGTTTTGGGGCTCAGAGCTGCGATTCTGAGGCCGTCAGGTTTCGTTGCTGAGCATTCGGATGTTAAGCGGGTTGTACAAAAGTAAACCTTTATGTATTTCCGAAACCTTGATCCTTAGTTGCTCAAGTCGAATAACTGCCAAACCTTGCCTAAAATCTACTTGATTTGCTTCGAGGCCTGAAAACTGTAGCTCCTGAGTCCGAAGTCCTGGTTGCGTTCGGAATTTTAGGCTTAATGTAGGGGCCTAAGTAATTACCAATGTTGTTCCTCAGGGTTCCCAATTTCAGTTATACTATGAAGGAGCCCGAATGTTTAACTTATTAAAGCCCCTATATTCGGAGGGCGGGAGAGGGCGCCTTAAATCTGGCGGAGTCCGAATTAAAACCCGATCGATAGCTGACAGGAGCCACAGGCATACGAACAAAAGAGCATACCCTAAACCCTAAGGCCCTAAGCCCTAACCCCTAAA